AAACTTTGTGTTCTTCTGTGATGTTCTAAATTCATCAAGCAATCATCTGGACTGATATAACTTCCAGCAGTTATGCAGCAGAGGTAGATGCATATGTTTAAACAACTAAGTCCTTTATATGTAATTAGATATATAATACTGATTTAAAAACAAACAAACAAACAAACAAACCCAACCAACAACAAACCCAAACAAGGGTAGGCATTTTCACTACAACTATCCAGGCATTTCCACTGAAACTATCCAGTGTTTTCGCAGTATGGTTGTAAAAACCCAATGGCCCGTGATATTTGTATTTTCCCCAAAGTATACTTTATCCTTGGGGAGCAATGGAGCAAGAAATATTTGCTTTATCTTTCACTAGGAAGTTTTATATCAAAAGTCTTCTCTAGCAGTGCTCATGCAGTTGGAAAGATGTGCCTGAGAAATAGTGTGATCTGAAGTGGGAGGTGGGTTCTGTTCTGAGCTCTTCAGCAACTTGATATGTGGGGTTTGAGTCAATTACCTACTGATTTCTGTACCTCCACTTCCACAGTGGTGTACACTTTTAAAAAATAGCTATCAATCTTTATATTGCTTTTATAAATAAATATTACCTGAATTGGCTGTCACTATTGTCAGGTATCTGTGTATCTGAGCTCTGAACTACTTCCTATGCCTAATCTTACAGCTGCTTAGAGGTGTAGTGATTTGTGTTTCCACAGATGGGTGGAAGAGACTAAAGCACTTGCCCGAGGTCACATGAGAAGGCCATGGCAGTAGAGGGACTCCTCTGTACAAGTTGGTCACAAACCACCTGCTAGATATTCCTGATAGGTTTGGAGTATGTTGATGTATTTGATCAATTATCTGTAATGGCTAGGACCATTTTTCTTTTCCTGGCCAGCAACATGCAGCCTTTCATTCAGCTTGTGAATCCCATTGCCAGCATCCAAGCTTTTATTGATTCAAGATCAAACTACTGGAAAATACTTTATGTGGGGCTGATTCAAACCCATGGAAGTAATCAAAGTAAGGTATACTTAAAGTCATTAATAGAGACTTGAAGCAGTGCAATGGAATTAATGTAGGATTTGTGTGGCTAAACTGAAAGAAACAAAACAATTTATATGCATATGTGGCTCATTGCTGAAATTAACAGGCATCAGTCACTCTAATATAATCTCATATTATGCAACAGATATCATAAATATGATCTATTTCTCCCTTAGCTAAATATTATTTTTATTCCATAACCCTTTTCAATTAATGGGATTTTTTTAGGTATGAAGATTGGGGATTATAATACTTCTTGATTTTTCCACCTTGATGAAATTCAGTGAAACTGAAAGGGAGCTCCCTCGTGATGTTGTTAAGGCTGAGTTTCATTCTGTGAACTTGCCTGTATGAAAAATTAGATGAAGACAATATAAAATTTTGATTTCTGAAAAATGTCCATGTGCTAGACTCAAATTCAGAACTGATGTCTAAGATTGCCAAAGTATGGTGTGGTAGTAAAATGAAAAAAATGCTCAAAAAGTCAGGAAATAATTTTTTTCCTCTTGATAAAGGATACCAAAAAAGTTATTTTCAAAAGAGTAATAGTCATATTACTGTTACTGAAGAAAGTGTCCTCCTGCCAACCACACCATTATCTCAGTGGGGCTTTGTGCTAGAAAAATGTCATTAGCTACAACACCAGGCTTCACAAGAGTTAGGCACATCATGTTTTAGAGAACTAGAATACAATACTTGTGATATCCTCTTTGCAAAGAGGAAATGGCAGTGTCTGATCTTGATGATATTTTAAACGTTGGAAATGCCAGAGGTTATGGCGAGCTGTAATTCTTCTCAGAATCAGTGGTGACCCTGTGGTGTTGAATTTTCACCAAAAGGGAGAAAAAGCACAGACAGAACCTCAGAAAAAAGTGTGAGGAGAAAAATAAACCAAATATTTTGAGAGTGTGGGATTAAAAACATTTGAGGAAAGCACCTGAGGAGAATGACTATTGTAGTAATAATGTGGCAGTGAATTTATCTTGACCACTCACTGTTTATCGAGGCTGTGATGCTAACTTGACTTCTGCATGGCTGGTGTGTTGTTAGTGGGACTGTTGTTTAAAGCATTTTAGTTTTACTTGGCTGAATTTTGGTATTGGTCTCAACCGCAAAGGTATCACTTTTATTATCCTTTCCTAACACACTAAGAGAAGAACTTCCCGGGTTTTTAATCTACAACATTGTGAGCATGTTTGAATGATCAAAAGAGACGAGGCTGTTTTATCTTAGTGAATTAACCCTTTCCAGAAGACCACAGTGGCTGCAAGCCTAGTTCATTTCAAATATAGGTGCAGTTATGTTTACATACTTGCACAGCCACTTAATTACCTTTTTTTTTTCTTTCATAAAACACATTGCAATCATTGTACCTTGATTTAAGAAAAGACTTATGGGACAGTGAATTGTAGGAAGATAATGAAGATCTCAGTGTAACATCCCACTTTCTATTCATTGAACCCAAAAATTAAGCAAATTTGATCAATTGTTGTGGCTGTGTCTTTTAACCACTTATTTGACTTAGTAATAATTGACCTTAAGTTCTATAGTCTAATGCCTAAATGTAATAATTTCTCTTATGGAAATCCAGTTTACCATTATATCCAATTAAAAAAAAACATGTTCCAGTTATTCAGAGCAATAAGCACCATTAAAGAAGGAAATACAGACAAATAAAATAGAAATTATATGGGAAAAAATATATCCTTCTTATAGCCAAAAATAAATGCTTAATCTTAGTTTTACAAACCCAAAATAATTCATCAAACTGACTTATTTCCAAACCAGACAGGCTTCAGGACAATAATATTGTCAAGTCTTGCTGAAATCTGGCTTGGCTGAAACTTAGATAGTTACAGACTGTTTCAATAGTTTTCCAGTTGCTTTTGGAACTGGTCTCTGCTGAATGACTGCAAGGTAAAAAACAAACTCAAACTAAGCTTTCCTTAAGGAGGGTCTTTCTTAAAAAAATGGTGAAATAAAAAGCAAAAATCAGAAAGTTTGAAAGCAGAGGAGGAACACAGAACAGCAACATGCTGAAGGGAAAAACTGCTGGATTTTTCCTATCAGAAGAATGAATGTGATTAACACATTGTTTTGAACCTTTTCAATGCTGTGTTTAACTCCTATTAAAATTAAGGATCAGCTTAAATATCACAGTTATTAAGCTTCTAAATCCTCTGTTCAGGGGCATGTGCTTGGGAGGGTTAACTGTGGGAGCAAGATTTAAGTTGACATAAGTCTGTGTGGAAGGCAGTTTTGCTAAACTCACCATTTTGTCCAGCACTGTCAGGAAATACAAAAAGTGCCCCAATAGTAAAATGTGTGGGCAGAGACCCCAGCTGCAGGTTGCTGATGTACAATCTTGCTTCTCAAACATTTGGTTAACCTTAAGTCTTGTGTGATTCGGCATAAAATTTGTTTTCCAATTTCTAATTTTTAAGCAGCTTTTAAATTCTTTGCAAAGTTATGCATTTTCATTCTAGTATCCAAATCCTAAAACTGCTACATTCATAATTGTCATCTTTGTTTGCTAAAGACTAGAGTCTGCTGCTTTCAGCTCTGTCAGCTCTGGATTTGATTTGGTCTCCAGCAATTACCAGGAAGGTGGTTGCTATAGTTGCACTAATGAAAGGAGCAAGCATGTTTCCTTGAAGACAATGTAAGCAAGCATAAATAAACAAATGCTTCAATATATTATGTGGCAATATTAGCATAAATGAGATATTACTTCAAGAGGAAGATGATGATTTTAGCCCTTTTCAGTGACTTGTTATATATCAAGCTTTCCACTTCTGACTCAGAGCTTAGCTTCACCTGATACAAGTTTTTTGACAGGTATTTAAAGCATTATTACTTTTATAGGACTTTCTTCTTCATTATGATGTCATATATTTGTTTGTTACCACATTTTTCCAGGGACAATCCATCCCCATAATTCTTCTGATCCTCTTAGGCAAATAATGGGAGCATAGGTGGAGGTTCACGACCAAAGCCAGGAATATAAGAAAGTTTTAATTTTAAAAAATCCTTTTAAGTTGCACTGAACTTTGTCAACTCTGGTTCACTGAGTTTAGCTGTAAGTGTGATTCTTTTCTGACAAGTGACTGTAAAAGCTGTATTACACATTGTCATGTTTATCTTTTAGTGACTTTGTGTCAACTTTGTTCAGGTTGTTGGATTTTTTTTTTAAACCACCAGATCTAACAAAGGACCAGAGATTTCAAGGTCATGCTGTGTTCATTCTCATGTAGCACTAGCAATAATGATATTTCTGAGAAATGAAATCTCTCACTCGTCATAGCAAACCACTTCAATATCTAGGAGAGACTGTGCTGTTAGATTTGCATGAAGCACAAAAAAAATCCGTTCTACCACCAAGCTGAAATCTCCCAAAACAACCTAGTGGTACATCTAGGAAATACTCTTACAATATTAGCATTATGTATTATATTAAGGTGGCAAAGTTCAGAGGTATTGATTCTGGCTCATCGTGGGACAAGCTTCCATCGCTGTAATAAAATATGGGAATTATCCTGCAGAGTGATTACTCTAAGAATCTATCCTTGCATTAGTACGTATCTGTGAGCAAATGGTATTACTTACCTGAATTATTCAGTACACTTTTAATAGATCTTAGTCTTTCTGGAAAATGTTGAGCAGTTTTTACTAATGGCTGTGTGATGCTAACTTACTGTCTCGTTGCTTGGTTAGGATAGAGGTAAGTTTCTTTTGGAGGTACTGGGTGTTGGAGGCATCGGGCCAAGATGAGTGGAGCATGTTTTAAAGCAAACCTCCTCATTGCTAGCTGCTAAATATATCTGGTGTTTTAAGAGGAAAAGTAAATACCACGTGGTAAAATGACATTAGTTGGACACACACTAATTCCTTTTCTTATGTGATTTCTAGCTCTGACCTAGCAATCTACAAACTCTTTTCCTTTTCTTCTCTCCTTTATTTTGCAGTTAACTTTGACCACTTTCAAATATTGCGGGCTATTGGAAAAGGGAGTTTTGGAAAGGTAAGACTCAGTATATTTTTAGCAGTTAAAAATCTAATAGAGGATTCCTTTGTGTTTCTGATGTGCCCTCATTAGGCTATGAGAAAGAAACGTAGGTTTTGTAGCCTCTTCTTTCTTAAAGACACCTGATCAGCAGTATAAACTGACTCTGACCAGTCATTAAATTATTTCTATTACAATATATTCACTAAAATTAATTTAATAAAAGTAAATGTAGTAATTAACTCTCATAAATGAGGATTAGCAGAATTTAGAAATCAGTCCTCAAAACAAAAAAAAACCTAAAAGTGGAAGCAGACTACATTTTTAGACAGCCCGCTAGAGTGACCTTATTCTAAAATCTCTGGACTTCTTTCTTTCTTTGAAATAATTGCAGTATTTTAAAGCCATTTTACATAGATTCAATACACTTGGGATCGTATAAACTGACATATGCTCTAATTATGATCATTGGGTAAATGTTTATTGAATTCAACAGGCTTTTGCTGAAATGAGATTAATGGTTTATTTACACATGAGTAGATGACCTTTCTTTCCTATATTAAAGACTATGACAAGGGTTTAAATTTTGATATGGGCGAATACAAGGCCATGTGGTCAGAGACAATAATATTAGAAAAACATTAAAACAGTTACAGGAATACATTTGCAGGTGAAGCATGACTTCAGTAGCTGATCAAGCAATAGCTACCTAGATCTTCTTTTAAATGATTCTTGAGTATAAGCCAGCTGAATGTCAGTCAGTTACTTCTGTAGCTAGGCATTAAGCACACACAGGATTTTGCTGGCCCTTGGCCTTCTGTGCAAAAAAATGACTTTAATTTTACAGAAGTCTGAAGTATTTCTCACAGAAAGGCATGGTCCTGCTTTGGTTCAGTAGTCTCCAAGAGAAACCCTTTCTGAGGTCTGTATGAGAATATGCTGCTAGTGCCATCGTTCTGACTTTTAAGGGATCGATTGTTTATTATCATAATACACTGATGGAATATCATGTCAAACTAGAGGTTCAGGAGAAGTTAGGCACAGTATAAGCAGAGATACATAAATTAGATATATCAAAATCGTGCTGGCAATCACAAAGATCACCTACATCACTCTTTCTTCAAAGCTTCCCCATTCAGACCTCTGCTGTCTCTGCCTTTTCAAAGGGGCTGTAACCCTTCACATCACGCAGGAAAATAAAAAAGGCTTTTTGAAGGCTTCTTGGTTGTTGTTTGAGCCACTCTTCTCATGTCATTCAGGAGGGTGGTAAATATTTCTATGATATTTGTAGAAACATCTAATTTTCTTACAGGTCTGTATGGCTGCAGTGTTCTTGTGAACCTGCTCTGTGGATATGTATAGGTAAAGAATAGAGTTCAAGAGCCTGAGAGAACATGTTTCGTGCAAGAAAGGACTCATGCATCAGTCCCTTCCAAACTTAATTCCTTATTTTGCAGCTGTCAAATGCAACAGAAGAGTCCTTGGTGTAACAGGCTTATTTTTCCCAAATGAATGCAAGTTTCTGACCAATCATCTTGTTTTTCCTTCCACAGACAAGGAAAGAAAGAAACCCATTTAAAAATGACCTATTATACCATAGCCAAAAGCAGAACATGGTAAACCCATCACCTGTTTCAAGTGCTTTTCTCTGCAGTCTGCCTTGTCTTTATTGTTCATTTAGAAGCCTCATTGCTGGCACTTTTTCCTTTTTACTGTCCTTTTGGAAGTACCTGGCAGCAGAAAACACCAGCAAATGATGCAAGACTTCCAATCTCTATTGACTTGCTCTTTACTGTTCCGGTCTATTGTGTTCTAGCATCCCGCAACATGTAACACTGAGTTGGGTATAACACCTTCCCTAAACTGCCTTCTTCCTTTATGGCTGCTTTGTGGCCTTTTTTGTTTTCTGAGAGCAGTAGGATGTTTTAAGACATGCTCTACTTTTTTATTTTATTGCTGTTGGTACAATTGTGCTCTCTCTCTCTCAATGTCTCTTAAATTGCTGTTGTTGCTACAGCAACCTTTAGGCCTCTGCAGGATATTGCTGCAGGAGGTAGCTGATATGGCAGACTTTGTGCAGCTCAGCTCACCCCTGTGCACAGAGCTCAAGGTGATCCTCGGCACCTTACCTCTTCTGTCAGAGCTGGCTGCTTCAGCAGCGATGTGCTGTCCCTTCCAGCTGGCTTCAGAGAGCAGCTCCCTGCCTTTTCCTTTGGCATCTTCAACTTACAGAAGCAACGCTTGCTGTTCCAGGAATTCCTAGGCCATTTGGTATCAAATGCTTTGTATCTCAAGGGCTTGTCTTTCTGAGAAGTTGTAACCTGTTTTAAGCTGTTGCCTCAGTACATGCTCTTTCATAGGGGCGTGTTAAGAGCAGGTGCAGCCTTGTACACACTGTAGCATCTTCCCCAGAAAAAGTGAACATACATAACAGCAGTTGTGAGGAGTGAAGGAGACAGACATGGAGAGAAGAGAAACAAGGAGCATACTCTTGTTTTCCAGAAACAACCAGACTCACTTCAGAGGTGTCCTTTCAGAGCTCAGGTTGTACCTTGGTAAGGGACAGATGCAGAAGCTGAGCTCTGACCTTGCGTAGGACCATTGCAGCCACAGCTTCTGTGTAGGTCAGTGGTTCTTTTGTTCAAGTGAAGTGACATGTAAGCTATGGCAGACTGGTGTGACCACTCAGTGAATACGTGCCCCCACACCTGGGCACGTGTATATATAGCCAGTGTACATATCTGTACATAAGATACTGGTACAGACCTGTGAGCTGATGCAAAAGTGACAGTGGTACTCGGGAAAGGTATCTGGCATCACTAAAAGTAGCCTTGCTGGCTTCAGGGACCTTACTGTGCTAAGTAGATGAAAGTAGCTCTTTGCTTATGCTTTGCTGTTCTTACATCTAATGGGAAACATTTAATGGTTTGGGTTTTTTTTTTTTTTTTTGGAAGACCTTTTAAGCTAGTTATGCTTGGCATGTTCCAGCCATCATATTTAAAACAAACAAAAAAAAAAATATGTGGTTCAGGTCAGAAATCTTGTCCGACAGGTTTTCGTATGTTAAATATTTGCCCTCTAAGTCAGTTCAGAAGTAGACAATTTAAAACATGCAAACCAAAAATAGCGAACACTGATATAAGTGGCTATTTCTTTAAGACACATGATACCTTAAAAGTGCTCCCTCATGTTTAATATGGCAAATATTTTCCATTTTATTTGTAGAGCCATCATTCTTATCAAACAAAATATTGCAAAAAATATATATATTTGAAGATCATCCATTAAGTACAAAACTGATTAGGAAGGAAGTACAGTATCATTGTTCTTTTCTGCAACTGTAACCATATAATTTCAAGCTTACTGCCACAGAATAATTTGTATTCAGGTGCAACAGCTAGTTTTCAAGGATATTATAGTACCAATTTTCTTCAAGTTCTCTGTTCATGAGAGCAGATATATGGAACAATTGACTGACTTCCTTAAATTAATTTCAGATTATGATTTCGGTGTGCAAACTCTCCCATTTGTCTAAGATGCTGAGACGCAGGACTTAATTCTGATTAATTTGCTTGTGTAGATCAGTGACTTCCTCTGCTGAAGTAATTGAAATTGCATTTGTGTTAAACAGATGGGAGCCCAGAATCATGTCTGCACTGACTGAGGGTGCTTTACTAAATAATATGTAAAGTACTTCAGAAAAAAATATGCTGCTATCCTAAAAGGAACATAACACAACTGCAGAATATTAATATTGTTTGACAGTATAACCACTTATTTTTTCAGCTTGAGTTAATATGAAAGGATACTAAGCAGATGCTTGGTCCCTGCTCCAGCTGTTGTGGTTTGCTCAGGGGAATCTGAGAATAAATGCCCCTATTTCAAGGAAATTCCCTGGCAGTGTAAACTTATAGCATCCATTCTCCAGCCTCTTTGAGTAAATCTTTCCAGCTCTGCTTGTAGTTTTTCAGAACATGTGGGTAAGAACAGACAAGATAGCAGTATTTCAGGTTCACGCTTCATAACAAGTTTGTCAATTCCTTCACTGACTGTGAAACATATAGATGTATTTCTGCCTAGTAGTCCCCTGCATTTAGGTGAGTATTGTCTGCCCATGCAGTGCCACAGCCCCTCTGGTGGGCTATGATTACTCATGGCACCTGTAGATGCCCCATGTGATCTACTGACCTGACATGCTTGGTGCATAAGACTACGATACAGAAGCACAGCTGAGATGTGCACTTCAGCTGCCAGCTCTCCACCTAACAGCAACCTTGTCTAGAGGAACTTTCTCTGACTGCAGTTTTGCATCTCTCCTTTTTTATGATCTGTCATGAAACCATATCATGAAGTAGTCTGAGATGTCTGAGCACTCATGTATGAAACTGGGATCAAAATGGCTTTATTGAGACCAAGTGCTCCTGTTCCCTTCTGTTCTCTCTGGACCAAGCACATGGCAGCTAAAAGTCTTTTGAAGTTAGTCGGAAACAGGAGAAATCTGTGTTCTGCAGCAAGTCAGACTTTTCAGCCCTCTGTGTCTTTTGCTCTGGGAAGAACTTCTCTGAATCTACCTATGACTGCTCAGCCAACACAGCCTTATGCAGCTTTCTGCAGCAAACCATTAGCAAATTCTGCTCCAGTTTTATTCAGCATAACTCTCTCATTTCACTAACCTAGCCTTGCAGCAGTCTGTGGGGCACTGTCACCCACAGCAGTCTCCTTGGCTATGAGACCCATTAATCTGCAGATCCAACTCAATCTGTAGGTGCTTTGTTTTTGATGTGAAATCAGATGAAATTTGAGAAGGTAGCTTAGAAGTGGACCGTAGCCTGTGCTGCTCCTGAAAAATGAATTTAGGCCCTGTAGACACAATTTATTGGTTTTCTTCCCCTGGTTCTAAGAGAAAGTAGATTCGCACTCTCGTCAAATTTCTTTCAATCTGTTAATTGAGGGCAATTCGTTGTTACCCTCTCCCAGACTTAAAAATTATACAACCCTGTGATAACAGCTAAGACACGTAGAAAAATCCTCACTAGAAAGGAAATATTTTAATAAGAGACGTTTAAAAATAAGCACTATATACCTCCAAAGAAAATTAATGTGGATTCATATTGCCCACATTTAATTAAACATGTACAACACAGGTGCTTATAGTCAAGATAGTCATCTACAGTCTCTTTAGAGAGACTTTAGAAGAGAAATGGTCCATCTCCCTAGAGTTGGTCTCCTGAGCATATTTGGACCCATACCTTAGGTGGAGATGGATGTGTTTGTCATTATTTGCTAACTATGAAGCTGGATAGCAGTTGAGTTCATGACACATTTGGTTTGAATGATCACCTGTAGAGACTGCTGAAGCAGTGATATCATTTTGAGCAGGGCACAGTCTGGGCTATGGTAAATGATATTTACAGAAAATACTGAAAGAGGATGTTTTAGTAATGCAAGCATGATAGCCTTCCATACTGATATGTGTAAATAAGGCAGCTCTGCACAGACTTCCACGGTAATGAGTCATTGCAGAATTTGTTTGTTGATGTGCCAGATCACCTGTTTGTCCCTGTTTTAAAATAACTTATTTGGAAAGAATTTAAACCATAAGCAGAAAAGTACAATTAAAATATCTCCCATTAAGACTGCATCTGTGAGGAGAGCTTCAGGGCTTTCCCTTTCTTTCCCGCAGCAGTGGGAAAGTTTCAGCCCATTGACATCCTGCTTAGAAGACCAGCTAGCCGGCAGGTAGAAATGCCAGGGAGGATTGCCACGACGACTCAGGGCTGTCATAGCAATGTCGGGTGTTTTGCACAATAACATCAAAGTGGATGCATTGTATTTCCTGATTTTTAGTAGGAAGTTACTTGAGTGCATTCATTAAGATCCTGTTGATTTTAAAACTGTGTTAAAAGATGTGCGTAGGTACGCATAACTAGAAAATATTTACTCTCATTCTGCTTTAAAGCTGAATGCTAGGCAAGCTTCTACAAACAGAAGGTCTGTTCCAACTGTGCTGAACACCCTTGTCTTTACTGGCAGCACTAAGTACCTTCTGGAGCCACAGCAGTGTTTCAACAGTTTCATTACATACTTAGGTGCTGTGTATGATCCTAGTTTGCAACATTGGCCAAACCTGTAAGCCTCAGCTGGGCAAAACTTCATTCTCTCAGCAATCTCACTAGTCAATGACCCAAGAAGGATGCTTTTTATATAGTGGAATTGAAGGCTTCTGCCAACATCTCAGTCTTGGCCAAGTTTCACATGAAAGTTATGCTGCAAATTCATGTAAGTGAATGAACTTCTCGACTTAGATTTTTATCCAAAATCCATCAATATTGTACTTCATAATGTGATTCACTAAAGTGAAGTGCCACATAATCTCAGACAGGATGTCAGGAATTGCCTCTGAAAATTCTGCTTTTTTGAATTCCACTTTTGAAGAACCTGTGGAAGATAGAACAATTAATTTCCATCTCACCATTTCAGTTCAGCTCCAGCTGCTACCTCTTCTTCTCCCAGCTTCCTCAGCTCCAGTTCCCCGTTGTTCTACAGCCTGGGTTCTCTCTGTATAGGTGTGAACCTGTATTTATCTTAAGGGCATCATCAATGTTCAGACTTTCCATAAAAGCCCAAGCAGGGAAATGAAACTAAAATTCAGTTCTCACCATTGTGCAACATTGATGAGCTCAAGATAAAACATTGTCATCCATGTTTTACTTAATTAGCACAACATCTCCTAATGTTAGGAAAGGTAATTAGAAACTCTGCTTAATCACACCTTATGATTATATGCTAAAAGTACTCTATTAACTCCTTTCTTTGGAGTAGATTTGAGCTCAAGGACATGCTTCATGGAAATAGAGTTGCAGAGAAATAATTGCTTTGGTTTCACTGGCCCAGTTTCTCTTTCAGGGACTGGAAAAAGGGAGGGGAAGTAAAATATGCTGATGGTAGGCTTCTGGAGCCTTTCCTATATGTTTAAGAAATAAGTGACCACATAGTAAGTCTCTTTAGTGTCCTCATGCTGGCACTGATAGTTCTAAAAGGTCCAGAATCCAGATGACAACTTGTTAAAGTCAGAGGCTTCAGCTGTAGGAAGTTTTCTTAGTTTCTCCTAATCATTTGTGAATTTCGAGCATGCAAGTTCTTTAAAATAAAACTCAAACCCAGAAGGATTTATTTTTGGCTTACACCACGTTTATAATTTGATCTCTGAATTTTGTGTGTATACTATGATTTTATGTGTGTATTATGGGAGTGTGTATGTACATATATATACACATATAAAGTAACCATGCCCATACCAGACAAATCCTGAATACCCTTGAATGAGGTGAAGACACTACAGAGTTGTGATATGTAAACCATATGATTCCAGTACATAGTCTATATACATCTTGATGCTAAAAATTTTTGACTGTAGCCTATAGGTGTATCAGTAATAGAAATGTTGCACCAAAATTATATTTTCAACTAATATTCTCTTGGCTGTGAAGACATGTTAGGAGTGTTACTTAAAGTCCTAATCAATTAACAGGAAAACTGTTCAGAGCAAAAGTCTGTTGACGATATGGTTTTACTCTATGTGGGTATGTAGGGCTGTTATGGAGGTGAAATTTATATCACCTTTGTGGTTAAGACACAGAACAATCTTATATTCCTGTGTTTCCAGAAATCATATTTAAAATTGTTTCTTTGATATGGTCCTGGTGATACTCTCCAGCTTCATTCACAAAGTAAACTACCATGATGAAAAATAACCTGTGCCTTTCGTGGGAGTTCTCTTGACTAAGATTTTCTTCCTGTATTTAAAAAATTACTTGGATTTTGTCAAAAGAAGAAAACAAAATTAAGGCAAATAAATTTACTGCTAGAGACTAAATCATTGTAATAGTCTCTTGTGACTTCAAAAATATTATTATGAATGTCTGGATGAAAATTCTTTTATTTTCAACAATAATTAAGGGAGCATGTTTCTCATATTCAGATGAAATATTGAGCCTTGTGAATATAGGCTCTGTTTCTGATGCAGTAATCAAGATCTGTGTATTGACTTGTGGGAATTAAGACTATGATTGTGCACTTTCCTAGGCAGGAGCCAGTAACTTCTGTGACTAATGAAATAGCAATCGGAGTGCATTCCTCACAGCTTTACTGTGTAACTTCTGAAACTTAGGCCACTTTTCTGCATCCACATTTCTTCTTGGGCATGGATGGGACTTTCTTTTGCTAATTTATTATATACAATCTATTACAAAGAATCCTGCATAGCTGTGATGTGGACTTTCTGAAGGTGTTCCTAGGTTGTAGTATCCAGATCTGGATTACTGAAATATGATAAAAGACTTATTTTTTTTCAAAGTCACAACTGAGTTTCTTTTCTGTAGGTGTCAAACTTTTTATTCTGTGCTGTTGATTAGGTGTGCATTGTACAGAAGAGAGACACCAAGAAAATGTATGCCATGAAATACATGAATAAACAGAAGTGCATCGAGAGAGATGAAGTTCGAAATGTTTTCAGGGAGCTACAGATAATGCAAGGCCTGGAGCACCCCTTCCTAGTCAATCTATGGTAAGTAAGCCTTTAAAATTCAGTGAAGGATCTTTTGTTTTTTACCTTATTGCTGAATCAGTTCAGGCTTTGGAAGGCTAGAAAGCTGAAAAGTATGAAAAAATTTTGTTGACTTTTTTTTTGACGTATTTAGGTTTTGCAGCATTAATATTTTAGAGGTGCCCTTTTGTACTGGAATATTTAAAATATCACATTAATATTTTCATTTCGCGTTTGGTTTCTCTCCAGATTGTTACAGCAGTGTGTGGAAATGTGTCCTTCTGTTAAGTTTAATTTCTTTTTGACAATACCTGGACTAAACATTTGTTATAAGGCTGTGGAGTATCAAACTTAACCACTCACTTAAGATATGTTTTAGCTGATTCAGAGGAAATTGAAACATCGATTACTCTTAAAAAATAGCTGACATGGAACAATAGAAAAAGCATCTTTGTTGCCTGGAATGTCTCTTATCTTCCCTGTGACTACCTTGGTCACATATGGGCATGAGGAAATGTTGGTCAAGTAATTACTAGTTTCAACTATGCTATCAACTTAAAATATTGGCTGGCTTTTTTGTGGTGATAGTACTTAATGGGATGGAGACATTTCTTTATGTAAGAATGACTTGCATCATTCAAAAAAAGGAGACATAAACCATTATGAGATGAAAATTGTTCTCTTTGTGGATACCTTGGCTGGCTATAGATGGTCACAGTGCAAAAAGACCTGTTTTGTGAGTTTTAGCTGTTTTTTTTTTTTTTTTTTTTTTTCCCCCATCCTTTAGCTCACTTTTGGCCAGTACAGGTGCAAGGTTTCTTGTTACCAGCTTAGCATCTTTCATGAATTAAAAGCCAAACTACATTCTGGCTTGAGTGAATACAGCTTTAGTATAATTGCACTCATTTATATATCAAAGAGTTTGATCCCAAAATTCATTCAAAAAGGACCTAATCATATATATGTGTGTGTATATGTTTCAGGTGCTCTGCACTTGAAATGAATGATCATAGTTGAGCTAACCTAATGTCCTGTTGGAGGCTCAAAGAAAAATATATAAACACTGTGACACAAACCTTTCCCAGTGACAGAGAATAAGCGGGAGACAGACACCATCCTATGATGATCGGAAAGCCTCGTTTATTGAAAATCAGAAGGCATCTTTTATATTGTTCTTAATTATCTCATACATATTTTAATTAGTTCATACATATTGCAAAAGCGAAGCTCATCATTGGTTACAGATTATATGTCAACCCCTCTTATGTTTATCTTTTGTGTTTAGCCTTGCGGTTAGCAGTTCTTTATCTTAGTGTTCCAGTTCCTTTTACTCATCCCATTATCCTACAATAGTTGCACCCCAGGTTATCTTGACCTGGAGTTTGTTTTACTAAACTTCAACCAGCTGCACTTTATCATGTCCCTTTGCTGTTAGCCACTCTGTGGCTAAGCTCTCCACATCCCAGTACATTTTCCAAGGTTCCAGCAACCTGTACTCTGGAGATTTCTTCACCAATGATGTGGTATCTCTGTGCTTAAGAGTCTGTAGATTTTTATTTCATGCATTTGTCTTATATCTTTTGAGCTCACACAAACTTTCTGTTCTTTATCAAGCGATGGCAAAGATTTCCACTGTGTGACTAGACACAGCAGAAACAGTCTTAGGTTAATGTGATCTATGAGATACTTCAGTAAACATAACGGTGCTGAAGGACTAGAAATAAAATATTTGTTGTGAAACAAAAAATATGCCAAATTACAGTTACTGAATTATAATCAGTTTATAAATATTCTTCCTTTTTTTCATGCCAAATATGAAACCTGAAGCAAGCAATACCATAAAATATGTTGGATTTGATGATGATTTTGTGTTTTAAATAATTTATTATTCTTGTGCTTCTGAGGTACTGTCACAGATTCGAACGCTATACTGTATGTGTATATGAAAAATGTAGAAAATGAAACACAAATTTAGTACTCTAGAAATAAAATTTAAGTCAGAGTATATTATCCAAGATGCTCCAGTGCACTACCAATGTTCTGTATTTGATGTCTGTAACAATAGTTACAGTTGAACAGTCTATCTAGGATGCTAATTAGGTGGAATAACAAGATTTTTTTAGAAGGGAAGACACAGAGGGAGCCTGCCCACCCATCAGATCATGTAATAAATGACAAGTTTATGCTGTGGATGTGGCCTGAAAGTTATCACTTGCATTAAAGCTTGTGACCCAGCTCAGCATCCAACAGTCTTGTTTCCCTGTCACCAAGGTTAGTTTGCATGTCTATGAAACAGAACATGCAATAGTCTGAGGACTTGCATCCAATCTAAAATCAGTGCCCACATTACGGGACACTTCTGTGAAGACATGCAGTTTGCTTGTGCCACTGTTCAGCCTCCACTGCCTTAACACCTTACTGCTTTGCAGCCTGAAATGCTCTTATAAGCAACATAATTTGGTTCTTAGGGCCAAAGCATAAACATGTGGAGGTGTAGCTAAGCTAATGGGTGAAACAGCTTCTGGGTCCATTCCCTGTTGCTGCCTGATGCAGCTGGGCTGGCCCTTGGCACACTCCTGTCCTCTCTGAGTCAGCCCCTTCCCAAACGGCTCCTGGGATAGTTTCACAGGCAATGTCCCCCACATCAACATGGTGTGGCCAGTGGCCTTCAGCAGCAAGGACTTCCTAGCGGAAGCACAAGCCCTGTCAGTTGGCTTTAGTGCCTGGAAATTCTCCCCAGCATATTTAATCTACTATGACAATCAGAGTGGCTAGCTGAGATCCTACTCTAGGGAACTCCATCCTTCCTTTTGAAGGTGGGCAATTGTGTGGTCAAACCCCTTATATATGAAACTCTGCTGAGGTTCAGAGACTTGGACATACACAACTAGAACTGCAGAAAATTTTTCAAAAATAATTGTATAGAATCATAGAATCCTTTAGGTTGGAAGGGACCTCCAAGATCATCAAGTCCAACCATTGAGCCATTAGGGCTCGAAAGTCCTCTGCTAAAACAGATCAGAATCTGTCAGGGTTGGAAGGGACCACAAGGATCCCCCAGTTCCCACCCCTCTGCCATGAGCAGGGACACCTCCCACTAGATCAGGCTGCCCAGAGCCTCATCCAGCCTGGCCTTAAAGACCCCCAGGGATGGGGCCTCAACCACCTCCCTGGGCAACCCATTCCAGGGTCTCACCACTCTCATGGGGAAGAACTTCTTCCTCACATCCAGCCTGAATCTGCCCACTTCCAGCTTTGCCCCATTCTCCCTAGTCCTGTCATTACCCGATAGCCTAAAAAGTGCCTCCCCAGCTTTCTTGTAGGCCCCCCTAAGATACTGGAAGGCCACAATAAGGTCACCTCGGAGCCTTCTCTTCTCCAGACTGAACAGCCCCAACTCTCTCAGTCTGTCCTCATAGGAGAGCTGCTCCAGCCCTCGGATCATTCTCGTGGCCCTTCTCTGGACACGCTCCAGCAGGTCCATGTCCCTCTTGTAATGGGGGCTCCCGAATTGGATGCAGTACTCCAGGTAGAGTAAATTTCATTGACACTTAGTATTTTCTCCTGAAGTGTCCACCTCAAACTTTATGCATTCATATGTCTAGTGATTCAGAGCCCTGACCCTAAAGTGAGCTACTGAAAAATCTGTATTTCACCCTGGGCTAGCATAGCAAAGGGAAATGTTGAATCCAGGCCTCTCCAAAATTAGTATAGCCTATGCCAAATAACCAATCCTTTTTATCAGGCCCATAATAGGTTTCTATAATTAGCTTTGCACACTCCTAAATTAATTTAAAAGAGCTTCTGATGTATTTCTGGAGTTGCAGACTGCAGTAGCATATTTCGGACTTCTAAATACTCTCTCAACCTTTGCCTGAATTTCAAGATGTTCTACACATTAACTTCAAATGACAACTTCTGTTATTGAACTATAACAGAGGCAAACCACAAAAATCACAAGTGACCCACGAATAATGGTCACATCTGTTCTGTTAACATTAAGCCATATGAACAGCTTTAACATATTAATTATATTTTTTATTTAATAATTGAAACTACATTTTTTTTTACTACCATAAAAAAATTAACAGTGCAAGTGCAAATGGAATATTCCTTAAACATATTTTGTGTTCCCAGCAGTAACCTTTTAAAATAACAGCATTTTCATTGATTGTTGGTGAATTAGAAACCTGTTTAATGTATCTTTACTTGCAGTTTAGCTGCAATAGTAATTTGCAGCAAATATATTTATGTTTTAGTTACAACTAACATCAGATTATTAGCAGGAATCTATGAGATTTCCTCTTAGGATTCAATTCCTGGCACACTAATGGAAGGAACAGTTGAAGCTGTATTTTGTCTATAGTAATTGCCGCTAGATTTGTTTCATTTTTCAGAGTTACTTTTTTCTGTTCTTTTTGTTAATTGTACTGCCAATGTACAAACAGCCTGTAACAGAAGATACTATCTTGTTTCACAAACTAGAATACTAATTTTGCAAGGAATAGTTATGTACAGGCAACAACGCACCTGCAGATGTGTAAATGTTGAGTTTGCTTTGACTGGGCTGCTTTGGTCTAGTCCGTCCTTCTAGGCTCTAGCACACTCTGTAAGGGTGTTTATCAGTGTTCAGAAATCCTGCCCAAGGTAAGATTTTCATAACTAAAATGCAGAAACCTCATCAGCCTACTAGATTTAATTTCCCTACTTAGCTGGGGTGCCCAACTTTGATTTCCCAAGGATATTTAGAAGTATGCATTCTGAGAAGGTTGGTAGCAATCTGCCATTGAGAACTCTGCTACAGCCTCCACATCAGTAGACAGGCAATGACATTGTCCACTTAACTAAAAAAAAAACCCAAAAAACAAACCAAACCAAACCACTAAATCTCCTAGAGAAAGTCAGAAATTCACTTATAGGCAGGATTCAGCCTAAGAGGAGTAGTGGTAAACAACTTTTACAGAATTGTGCCTTTTACATTAGATTGTCCTTGCATAAAAAGTGAAAACGGACTTTGGATGAGGA